AATCCACCTGTAGGGGACATGCCCGACCTAATGCTAGTTCTCGCTTGGAGCCGCACACTGCCGCGAGAAAGGCTACAGACGTGTCGGGACACGTCTGGGTCGGCCACGCCGCAGGAGGCCAGACTTGACCAGCGGGCACCCCGACCGGACCGACAAGGTACCAGGCATGGGTCGGGCGGGTGGTCATGGGGGATGACCCAAATGGGGGGTGAATTGGCCACGCGCAGAGGGGGGTAGGGGGAAGGGGGGAAGGCTTCTTAGAAGCGCCCCTGCTGCTTAGAAGGAGCTGGCCTCTCTACAGACGTAAGGCCGGGAGCTTCCAAGAAGCAGGGTGTTGCTAAGAAAAGCCTCCCCCTCCCCCTATACCCCCCTCTGCGCGCCGCCAGGTGCAGAAGAGAACCCTCCCTAAACGGGCCCTTCGGGGCCTCTGTTTTTGAGCCAGCTGGTGCCCGAAAGGACCCCCAAAGGGCCCCTTTCGGGGCCCCTCTCTTCACCCCCCTGATTGGACCACCCCCCCCCCCCTCCTCCTCCTCCTCCTCCTCCTCCTCTCCTCCCCTCCTCCTCCTCCTCCTCCTCCTCCTCCTCCTCCTCCTCCTCCTCCTCCTCCTCCTCCCTCCTCCTCCTCCTCCTCCTCCTCCTCCTCCTCCTCCTCCTCCTCCTCCCGCCTCCTCCTCCTCCTCCTCCTCCCCCTCCTCCCCGGCCCCGACTGGACCACCTGCCCGACCTGGCCTCGCGAGGGAGCCCGCGGGCGGAGAGCAGGGCGGCCGCAGCGCGAGCAAGGCCCGCTTTCTGGGCCCCAGCGCCGCCCCCGCCCCGCCCGGTTCCGGGGCTCGGGCCGGGCCTCGCCGCGGAGCCCAGGGGCCCTGGCATCGCTCGGACGTGTGCGTTTTTTCCTCAGCGAGGACCATCGAGGAGCATCCTTGACCCTTTGGCGAAAAAACTACGCACGAAACCGAAAAAAACACGGGGAATGGACGTCCGAGCGATGGCCAGTGGCTTGCCGCAGAGCCGTCCGGGCTGGGTCCCGGGGCGTGTTCTGAGGAGCCCAAGCTCTGTGGAAGCCGCACAGCGCGCGTGGTGCGGCGCCGGATGGGTGGTCGGGTTCGCTGGCACCTCGCCCGACGCGGTCGTGCCAGCCCCAGCGCCGTCTCAAGACAGCGCTGGGGCTTGCGCGTAGGGAGGTGCCGCGGACGAGGCGGAAGGGCAGCCGCGTTCAGGGCAGCGGCGCTCTCGGGCCGACCCCAAGCCAAGCGAACGTCATGAACGCAGTGCTGCGGTTGAAGTTTGCTGCTTCTCCCACTCAACTTTGAAGTTGGACGGAGGAGGCAGTTTCGGACGCGGAGCCGATCTTGGAAGCGAAGAAATGCCAAATACGTAGGGATCATATTCAAGGATGGGTAAACCACCCCGACACCCATGATTGTCGTTGACTACGCAGTCTTCGGCGTGTACTGAACAGTCTTGCCCTGAACGATTCCTGCCTTAGGTGTGCTTGATATAGGGTTTCGAGTGCTGATATGAGGGTGGTTGATGAAAGCACGGAAGCCAGTCCCGCAAGTTGAGTGAGAACAATACGAAATTCAATATGATATCGGAATTCGTCTTGGAGCCGTTAGAAAAACGCCGCTCGACATCGAACAACTCGAGTAAGGCTAACAACAATTTGGGCATTGCCAGAGATTGGCCTTTGCGGGCCTGACTGCGAGGCCGTCTTGGGGAGGCCTCATGTGGCTTTCCATTTGGATCCACACTGAGGCATAGTGGAAGCCATCGCGCCTGTCCTCGGCTATCTTGGTCGGTCTGTGGAGCCAAGTAGGATGGCCTGGACCCGATTGGAGCCATCCGCAGAGTTCTTGGAGCCATCGACGGGCCGGCCAGAGATTTTAGGGGGTCCTATGGGCCCCAGAGATTTGGGGAGCCTTGGGAGACAGCTAAATTGCAGCTGAATGTATCGCACACGTTCTGATTCCCGGCCAGCGGGAGTCGTGGATTGCGGAAGTTCGCACAGTTGTGACGTTGGTTTGTTTTCATGTAGTGTTCTGGAATTCGCATGTGTTGAGAATGTGTTTGTTGGACTAGTGCGAGGCGTGGTCATGACCTTGACGGGAGCTGAATAGATCCAGTTCAATGTGGGCCGAGCGTTTGGATGAGGATTTGCAGTTTGCCCGCGGCGAGGCGCGATCTCTTCTTCCCCGCCCCCCCGGTCCCCCCAGTCTCCTCTCTCCTCCGTCGCGGGCAGGGGTTGACCAGACCGTTGTGTCCCCGTTGCCTCATCTCTGGACCAGGAGGAGGAGAGAGGAGGATTGAGGAGGAGAGAAGGCGGAGGAGGAGGAGGAGGAGGAGGAGGAGGAGGAGCACCGGGCAGATTTAGGATGAGGATAAATCGCTCCAGAGCGTCACATCCTCCAGTGCCGCAGATTATCAGAGGCCCGCTTGTTCTCCTCATCCAAATTAAGATCCTCACCGTGCTCTCGTCCGAGAGTAGTTTGGCAACCACTTCCCGCCGTGCTGGTCGGGACGCTCGGGAGAAGAAACAGCGTCAGGACCGGGAGCAGAAGATCCCTTTGGCGTTTTGGCATGGGGATTGGCAATAGTGTTATTCGTTGAGCCCACTCTTGCACTTGGAAGAAGAAAGGCCATAAAAGTCAGCTTTCGGCGCCCGGCGCGGATTTCTTGGATCCACGCAGAGCCCCCCGGCGGCGCCGCCTTTGGCGCGCGGAGCGCGCCAGGGAAGGGGGCCCAGCTCAGATCCAAGAAATCCGCGCGGAGCGCCAAAAGCTTATGTGTATGGTATTGTTGTTCCTCTACTCATGTGCCTGTAGCCACCGCTCTGCTGCACTGCGGGCCGACCCGACGAAGATGCGAGAGGGGAGAACCTGTTGGGCGTGACCGCCATCGTCCTCGCCAACCTCTGCGTCGCCTACGTGATGACGTCCGCGAACGAAGAGGCAGAGGAGCCTGCCTGCCGCGGTGTCCGCCGTGCCTCGTCCCCCGCTGCCTGCGTGACGATCGCGGGCCTGCGCGCGCCTGCGCGTGCGCTCGTGCGTGCAGGTGCGGGTGCCCCCACGGGCGAGTCTGCACGTGGCAGAGTTGCGGTGCGGATGTCGCCAGGGCGGCCGGGTGGCGCGCGCAGGGGGCAGAGAGCGAGGGTGGCCGCAGACCTTGGGTGCAGAGCTTTAGGGATGGGGGCGCGCAGGCAGACGGGTGTTGCAGGAGTGGCCTGCGTCGAGGAGCGAGAACGATGGCGATCACAGGGGGCAGAAAGCGAGGACGGCCGCAGACCTTGGGTGCAGAGCTTTAGGGATGGGGGCGCGCAGGCAGACGGGTGTTGCAGGAGTAACCTGCGTCGAGGAGCGGAAACGAATGGGGCTCAAGGAGCAAAGCGTTTGCACGGGTTGTGCAAGAAGGGTTGCACGAGGTTGTGCAAGCGGGGACGCAGGGGTTGCAAAGGATGTTTGCGTGCTTTGTTGCTCGGCACGTATTTCCCCATGACATGTCATACGCATAAACGTTCCGCGGCCCGTGCGAATTCCGCGCATCGGCGGTGGACCCCCCATCCCTAGCCAACAAATCTGCGCGGGCCTCAGAATGTTTATGTTGATGCCTTTGCTTGACCCTCTGTTACAGGCAGCAAGAGGCGTGGACGAAGGAATGCCCGGCTGCAGGCGCTCGAGAGGGCAGAGGTCGAAGGTCAGAAGAGAATAGTAGCATGAAAGTTTCGGGCGCCTGCGGGGCGGCAGATTTCCACCAACGCCAGACCTTTATGCCCAGCTGGTGCAGGCGGAGATCTGCCGTGCGTGGATATCCGAAGTCAATTGCTGTGTCTGTTCGTATTGTCTGAGGTCACTGTTTGCGCAGCATGCTCCGTGCATCTCTCTCGCATGCGTCATGCGTTTCCAGCAGTCCTTTAGCCTCCTTGGTTCCTCCTCGCCCGCGCAGGTTCGTGTCGTGACGATCGTGCTCGTGTCGTACCAGCACGGCACGAGCCGGCCGTCCCATCGTCGCGACACGAATGAACCTCTTTGTTCTTGCCTGGTCGCGCGAGCCTCTTCGCGTGTTCCTCTGCCATGCTCCGCCTCGCGCCCGCACCTGCCGACCGCGCGACGCCAGGACCTCATGCGCCTGGTGGAGAAGGAGGAGGAGAAGGTTGCCGACCCCGCCAAGCCCGTCTACCACCTGTGCATCATCAACCTTGTCATTGGCACCCTGTACTGCGCCAAGGCCTCCCCCATCCCCTCTGCTTGCGCGTGGCGCAGGGCGTGAGCGGGGAGGGGGAGAAGAGAGAGAGAGAGAGATAGAGAGAGAGGGAGAGAGCAGAGAGAGAGAGAGAGATAGACAGAGACAGAGACAGAGAGATAGAGAGATAGAGAGAAAGAGAGATAGAGAGACAGAGAGAGACCGAAAGAGACAGAGAGAGGCCGAGAGAGAGGGCGAGAAAGAGGGAGAGGGAGAGGGAAGGGCGAGGGAGCGGGGGGCGACGACGACGGCGACGATTCGAGACATCCCTCCGATGTGACTTGTTCCAGCCGCGGTCCCAGAGTTCCCGACCACCCCTTCCCCAAGGGTGGTTTCGCATCCTTGGTACATTGCTCGTGGCCCTGGGGCCCGAGAGCGCCCCCCCCCCGGAGGCCGAAGCCCAGGAGAGACGCTAGGCTTGGCAACAGATGACAAGATCAATCCGCCAGAAATCAGGGTGTGCAAGATCAGGCAGCATCTAGCCAGAAATACCTCAGAGGAGGAACAGGTACCCATACCGCTCGCTACCTTGCCCCCGTTTCCCTTTTCTTTTCGGCCTCCTGGGCGGCCCTCGTCGCCACCGTTGGATTCGCCTCGAAATCCTCGTCAGAACGCGCTCCAGGAGAGGTCCAGGGAGTAGCGGTATCGGTACTTGTTGGTTTCCCCTACATCGGATCAGATCGGAGCGTGCGTCGGATCGGGTTGTTTCGGTACGGAGTCGAAATCGAATCGAATCGTCTGCGGCATAGGTCGGAAATCATGTCGCTGGAGGTCTGGGACAGGGACGACGATCGAGTCGGCAACGAAGAGGAAAAGAAGAGGGGTGATGCCGACGACGACGACGACGACGACGACGACGACGACGACAGGGGCCAGGATAAGGACAACGACGCGGACCAGGCCCAGGCCAGCAGCCCCGCGGGCGCCGATCTGCCCCCCTTGCTGTGCAGAGGGCGGTGGCGACGAGGCGCCGAGGACGAGGACGCTGGCTCTTGAATTCAGAAACCAGTTTTTGTTGAATTCAAAAAGTTCGTTTTTGTAATCAAAACCCGACCGGTTGCGAGTTCTGTTAGCAACGCTGCGATATCTTCCCCCCACGGTGCTTCCGCGGGTTCGCACTCTGCCCCGGCCACGTCTCGTCACGCGCCGGCTTGGAAGACCCCTGAGGCATCGGGACGCCCTTGTGGAAGCCCTCTGAGGTCCGGAAGGCACAAAAAAACGCCGACAAGAGTCCTGGATTTTCGAGCCTCCAAACACCGAGAAGGAGGAGTAGGAGGACGAGGACGAGGACGAGGAGGAGGAGGACGAGGAGGAGGAGGAGGAGGAGGAGGAGGAGGAGGAGGATAGGAGGAGAAGGACGAGGAGGAGGAGGAGGAGGACGACGACGAGGAGGAGGAGGATAGGAGGAGGAGGAGGAGGAGGAGGAGGAGGAGGAGGAGGAGGACGAGGTAAGGCTGGCCTGGGACGAGGGTGGATCGCTCCAGAGCGGCGCGCTCGGGAGCGGCCGCAGCACCCGCGCAGCGCCGCTCCCTTGCCGCCGCCGCCCCCCGGGAGGAGGGGCCGTCTTCCCTGTGGCGGGGCGCGCGCGCCTCCTCGGCCCACACGGGCATCGGAAAAGAGTAGCGGACACTGTCGGGGGCAGCAGAGAGGGGGCTGAGGACCAGGGGGGGTGGATATGACGGAAGGGGATCAGGAAGGAAAGGTGTCTTGGTCGTTGTGGAAATGGGGTCCCGAGGTCCTCGAGGGTCCAGGTTCGGGTCTTTCGCCGAGCGCGTTCCATTACTCGCAAAGTGCCTACTCGCAAACGTCCGGAAGAAAACATGGTTTCCTCGATGTAATGGAGCGTAAGTCCCCCGCGGCGGATTCGGGCCAATTGCGAGTAGCTACTTTGCGAATAGTGGAACGCGCTTGTCGAGCATTGCACTTCTCGCGTCCCTGGCCGTGCTCCCGCCACCTCGCCCCACCCTGTTCGCTTCTGTTGGCGGCGCGCACAGGGGGGTAGGGGGAGGGGGGAAGGCGTCTCAGAAGGAGGTTGCTTCTGCAGACAAGGCCCCCGCCTTCCAAGAAGCAGGGGTGCTTCTAAGAAGCCTTCCCCCCTCCTCCTTCCCCCTCCCCCTTCACGTGGCTGATTCTGACAGGCGCCCCCGTCGCGTTCTCACCCTCCCACCTCCTCTCAACCCCTGGTCGCTGTGAAAATGGGGCCCCGAGGTCCTCGAGGGTCCAGGTTTGGGTAGGACTTCTGCTGTTTTTGTCGGGCCCCCCTGTGGTACGATTCACCGCCTCCACGGCTGGATCCCCGTCGAACTCTGAAATTTTCCCCCAGGAAGGGTTTGGGGGCGAATTGTTCGTGGGGGCGGAAGGGGATCAGAAAGGAAAGGTGTCCTGAGGGAACGGTGTCTGGAGCCTGTCCCCCGAACTCCTGCGGCCCTGGGATAGTCCAGCCAAAGAGTGGCTCGGCATGGAAAGTCTTCCTGGGGGGAGATCTGGGATCCAGGACCCGGTTCGACCAGGACCCTCTCCCATCACGGCAGCCTCCTCTCAATTTCCTGGGGTCTTTTTTATAATATGTCTTACAAAAAACAAAACAAAAAAGAACTCCACCTCCTGGGGTCCCCCTGGAATCCGCTGGCGCCGCCCTCGTGCTCCGCCCTCCGGAGATCCCCGGGGCGTCTCCAGGGGCTCGTCTTCAGGTCCCCTCCGCCGGAGGGCGTCCGAGGCCCCCAAAGAGGCACGCCGGGGGCTCCAAAACAGAGCGCCACGAGCATCCAAAGTCCTCGATCCTCCACTTCCCCTCCCACTCCTCCCGCCTCTACCTTGAAGTCGGGCTTGTCCCTCTACAGGGGGAATTTCCAAAAATTATCAAAAAATAGTCTGGGGACTATTGTTGGACTATCTTTTAGCATTCTGGGAGTATTTTTGGGGTATTTTTAATTTTTCTGCCAAAATCCCCCTGTAGGGGGACAGGCCCGACTTAACTCTACCTCCGCCGCCAATTTTCCTCGAGATCCGAAATAGCGCAGCAGCAAAAAAAAAAGCAGCGTGAGCAGTCACTCCCGTTGCCGTCGACCCCGCCGTTCTGCCGAGATTCTCAGGCCAAAATCACCCGTGACAGCCGTGGGGCCTGCCATGGGCGAGAGCGCCCCCAACGTTAGGAACGTGCGATGCTTGGATCTCTCAGGAGGGAGAAAATGACACACAGACACAACTAATCGTCGATTCCCCAGAAAAGATGGGGAAATGTGGGAAGTGGGGGGAAGACAAAAACCTGGAACATATGGAAAAGTTATGGGCAATCCTGTCATTTGTGCGTGTATTTGTTTGCATGTCCCTGGGCCCCTTCAATCTCAGAGTCTTCTTCGGAGAGCCCCGCGAGGGCAATTTCGAGTTCGGCATCAGCCGCATCATCAAGTCCCTGGAGCCTTACGACCGCAAGATCGGCGTTGACACCTGGCGCCCCCGCGGCTTCCTGGGCCGTCGGGGAGAAGGTCGGGGGGCCAGGTGGGGGGGACGGCTGGAGGGGGTAACGCCTCCCCCCCGATCCATTGTTCCTCTCCAGTCCCCACCCCGCTCCGCCCCTTCTGCTTCGCACATCACCCCCCTCTCGAAGAAGAAAGCAAAATATAGATGCATACTCTGTCAGTACATGTTTGCCACTACGAGACCCAAACCATAAAGTATTGCATTGTGGATGTAGATGTCGAAGTTGTGCAGTGTAAGTCATGTGGTCTGTGGTGGTAGCTTTGTGGTGCAACATATGGGGTGCAAGTTGTGCGGTGCAAGCTGTGCGCTGCAAGATATGTTGCGTAAGGTATGCCGTAAGAAATGCGTTGCAAGTTACGTAGAGCAAGCTATGCGGTGTAGGTTATGCGGCCCTACATGTATATACGGTACATATGTCATATACATGTATGTTTGTGTGTCACAGTCTAACTATGTCAGTGGCGCAAGTTGTGTGGTGTAAGCTGTATGGCAAGAGCTATGTGCGCAATCGATGCGGCCGCCCAGCGCACCGAGGCACCGAGGGGCGGGGGGCACCAGGCGGAACCTCTGCACCACCACCCCGTGCAGCAGGCGCCCTCGGGCCAGCACCGGGCAACATGTTCGGCGCGCCGACCCGGCCCACGAGGCGCCCACGGGCGGGGGGGGCACCGGGCGCTCGGCATCGCTCGGACGTGTGTATTTTTCCTTCGGCGAGGACCATCGAGGAGAATCCTTTCTATCATTTGGCGAAAAAACCACGCGCGAAACCGAAAAAAACACAGGGAATGGACGTCCGAGCGATGGCGAGGGCGGAGCCCGCGGCACACCCACCCGTCGCACGAGGCGCCCACGGGCGGGCCGGGCACGAGGCGAAGCCTCGGCACTCCCACCCAGCACGAGGCGCCCACGGGAGCCCACCGAGCGGACCCCCGCAGGAAGCCCGGCACACCCAAGCAAATGCAGCAGGCGGCACGAGGAAGAGCCCATGAGTGCAGGCCGTGGTTTACCAAATACAGCAAGTAACACGAGGAAGAGCCCATGAGTGCAGGCCGTGGTTTGGAGACAGGCGGCTGGTACTCGAGCAGAGATCCTGAGATCCGCGAGCACTTCCGAAGGCCTCCCCTGGCGCCACGCGCGCGGAGCCGAATCCGAGTCCGAGTCCCCCCCTGCGCCCCCTCCGCGGAGCCTCCCTGGCGAGCCGAGCCCCCTTGGAGAGGCCGACAGCCCCCGTGGCGGCGCCCTGGGCGCCGCTGCTGGCGCGCTCCACGCGCCAGGGAGGGGGTCCAGAAGAAATTCTCGCCGACCTCGCAGCGTTTATGCTTACGTGGGGGAGCCTGTGACGTCGTTTGGTGTCGTCCGACGTCCAGAGAAGCAAGAGGAAAGTGCAAAAAATCGAAAAACAAAAAACGAAAACAAAGAAACAAGAAACGATCAAGCAAGATGGTGGAAAGACGGTGGGGCGGGGAGAATGGGGGGGGAGCAAGAGGGGGACGGGGGGGGCAGTGGAGAGGGCAAGCTAGGCGCGTCCGCGCCACGTCTGACAACCTACCCCTCCTTCCGGCATAGGAGAATAGGAGGACGACGGCGACGACGACGACGAGGAGCACGACATTGACGAAAACGGCGACGACGAAGACGACCGCCGCGGCAGCGGCGCCCGGAAGCCTCGGAGGTACTACGCCAAGCGTTGCTTCCTTGCGCTCGGCGAGACGCTGGGAAAGAACATGCTGCTGCTGAAGGATGAGGCGCCAGGGCTCCTCCTCCTCCTCCTCCTCCTCCTCCTCCTCCTCCTCCTCCTCCTCCTCCTCCTCCCGTAGCCATTTTGGCTCAAGGAGGCTCGATCTTGTACAGACGATCATCTCCCGCGCCACTCCGAGCGTAAAGTGTTTGCGCGTGTGCCAACGATAGTTGCGTACGAGTACATGGCCGCAGTGCTCGTAGTCTACAGCGTGGAGGCAGCATGGGAGGTGCAGCTCATCCGGCCCTACGCGTGTGGCGAGGGGCTGGGCAAATTCCGCTGGCCCGTTGTGTTGGCATTGCTCAGCACCATAATCGGGCTGGTGCACGTCATCGTCGAGTTGCTGGCGGAGTTCCCGAGGAACCGCGTGCTCGGCGAGGCAGGTGTGCCTCCCACTGCGTACAGCTCCACCGCAAGCAACACGATGGTGATCGCGCCCGCGTTCCAGGGACACTGCGTCGCAGGCATCCCCCTCTTTGACCTCAGCATCGTGGTGTCCTTCGGCTTCGAGACGCCTCTGTTCGAGTTCGCTGCTGCGGGAATCTTGTACACTCTCGTTGTCGAGCAGCTCGCAGCGGGCAAGCGCGAAGCGACCTACGACAGCTTGCGGCGTCTCAAGAGAACCAACGCGTGGAAGGTGGTGCTGATCACGGCCACGGTGATTCTTCAGGCTTACGCCACATCCGCCGACCCCTTATGAAGAATCGCGCAGTGGTCTGGTCGCCTCTTTGGGTGGTCTGAGGCCCCTGGGCCATTCTTGGGGCATTCTTGGGTTGTCTTGGGGCCCCTTAGGCCGTCCTGTGGCAGTATTGGGCTGTCTTGGGGCTCTCTTGGGCTGTCATCGGCCTCTCTTGGGCTGTCATGGGGCGCTCTGGGCGTTTTTTTCGGCCGTCTTGGCCGTTGCCATCTGTTGCCGAGGACTGTGGTATGCCCTTGGTGACCTCAGAACTGCTTTGCGGTGTCTTTTGGAACCGTCAGGGGCGGCCGTGGGGTGACCTTCAATCGTCTCAGGCCATGGTCAGAGACCCGCCGAAACGCCCTGCGGAAGCAAGTGACGAGCACGGCGGGAAGCGACGCAAGTTGCGACCGCGAGTCGCGCGCGCTGTCTTCGGGGCTCTCTTGGGCCGTCCTCGGCCCCTCTTGACCCGTCTTGGCGCCCTCTTGGGCTGTCGCGGGGCCCTCGTGGAGGCTTCTTGGACCGTCTTGGTGCGGTCTTGGGGGCCGCCCAGGAGCGGGGAACACCCCAAAAGGCGCACGTGCGAGAAAAATATACGTTTTACGAAGGGAACGGGCGTTTTTGTGCGTCTAGAGGACCTCTTGTGGCGCATCGTGGATGCCTCTTGGGGCGTCTTGAGGGCCTCTGTAGCCGTCTGGAGGTCGTCGTCAGTGTTGTTGATCGCTCTTGGACCGTCGGGGACCATGCGGAGCTCTTTTCGAGGCCACTCGGGGCGCTCCTGGAGCGCTGTCGGGGCCGTTTTCGGAGCCCTTTTGGGCCGTCTTGGACGTCTGTTGGCCCGTCTTGGGGCCCTCTAGGGCTATATGGGGAACCCTCTTGGAGGCGTCTTGGGCCGTCTGGGAGTGGGTTTGGGGGGCTCTGGGACCGTCCAGGAGCGGGGGGCACCCCAAAAGGCGCACGTGTGAAAAAAAATATACGTTTTACACAGGGAACGGGCGATTTTTTGCGTCTAGAGGGCCTCTTGGGGCGAATCTTGGATGCCTCTTGGGCCGTCTTGGGGGCCTGTTGAGCCGTCGGGAGGCCGTCGTCGATGTTTGTGATCGCTCTTGGACCGTCTGGGACCGTGTGGAGCTTTGTGGAGGCCACTCGGAACGCTCCTGGAGCGCTCTTGGGGCCGTTTTCGGAGCCCTCTTGGGCCTGTTGGCCCGTCTTGGGGCCCTCTAGGGGTATGTGGGGCACCCTCTGCGAGGCTCCTGGGGCCGTCTGGGAGCGGGTTTGGGAGCCTCTTGGGCCGTCGGGGAGCATCGGAAAGGCCCAAAGCCGAATTTGTGAAAAATGTACGTTTCACGAAGGGAATGGGCCAATTTTTGCGTCTAGGGGCCCTCGTGGAACGCATCTCGGAGGCCCTCGGGGGGGGGCTCGTGGTGGCCTCTTCTGCCGCCTCATGGCCCGTCTTTGGGCCACCCTGGGCGGCTTGGAGCGCTCGTTGGGCGTCCCAGAGCCATGTCGAGGCCACCAGAGGCGTCCCTGCACGATTTTCACGAGGTTTTGCACGATTTTCGGGAGCGGATGACCCCTCCGTTCCCATCCGGGGGATCCGGCCGGACCCCCCCCCCCCCCTCAAATCGACCGGACCGGGCTCCCGGGAGAGGGGTTTGGGGAGGGGGAACAGTGGGGCCCTCTAGGGGTATGTGGGGCACCCTCTGCGAGGCTCCTGGAGCCGTCTGGGAGCGGGTTTGGGAGCCTCTTGGGCCGTCGGGGAGCATCGGAAAGGCCCACAGCTGAATTTGTGAAAAATGTACGTTTCACGAAGGGAATGGGCCAATTTTTGCGTCTAGGGACCCTCGTGGAACGCATCTCGGAGGCCCTCGGGGGGGCTCGTGGGGGCCTCTTCTGCCGTCGAGGACGCCTCGTGGCCCGTCTTTGGGCCACATTGGGCGGCTTGGAGCGCTCGTTGGGCGCCCCAGAGCCATGTCGAGGCCACCAGAGGCGTCCCTGCACGATTTTCACGAGGTTTTGCACGATTTTCGGGAGCAGATGACCCCTCCGTTCCCATCCGGGGGATCCGGCCCGACCCCCCCCCCTCCAAATCGACCGGACCGGGCTCCCGGGGGAGGGGTTTGGGGAGGGGGAACATCTCACATGCCGATGAACCCCAAAGGGTCGGCGGATAAGTTCAACATGGTGGGAGTCGTTTTTGCCGGGACGTATTTTCTTTGCGAAAAGCGTTTGAACATGCATTTCGACCTCATGGGCTACGCTCTCACCCCCGAAGACTACCCGTTCACGTTTGAGGAGCGCGACCGCCATTCGTTGGGCCAACTAGTGTACTTCGGCGTGCTTGCCTTGAACAACTTGCGCTTTGTGATCTGGGTCATGTTGTTCCGTTTGATTCGGAAGCTGAATACTTTGATCCCGAGCGATTCCGACACATCTAACGTGGTCTCAAACACAAGAGCGGTGGTGAGGGTCGCCTGAGTGCCCCTGCTGTCCGAGGTCGCGGGATGGACATGCGCAATCGCGGCATTGGTGTCGCAGCAGTTCCTCGACGGGGTCAAAGACCAGATCGTGAATTGCATCTTCTGCTTTGCGATCTGGACGACACTCAGCGTGAAGCGTCTGTGCTTCGTCCGCTCGATCTGCACCCCACGGCGATGCGTGATTATGCTGCCGGGTTGAGGCAGTGCGTCCTGCTGCTTGGCTCGGCAGAGTTGGCCGCACTGCTCGAGGACGGCGGCCAGGGCACGGGGTGCGAGCGAGGCGGCCAGGGAGCTGCTCCGCAGAGGCCTCGCCGAAAGCCACGGAGTCCTGCTGGGTCAGATCGGGCCAGGCGCGTTCCTGCCCGGCGACACGAGCGCGCGGAGTTCTCCGGAGCAGTTGAGGCGACCCGCCCTTTGCGAGCTGCCCCCCCCCCTCCTCCCGATTGTCCCCGCTCGCGAGCCTCTCGGGGCGTGAACATTCGGGGGTGGGCCCCGCCGAGCCTCTCCTCCCTTCTCCTTGGCATCGGTCGGACGTGTGCATGTTTCCTTCGGCGAGGACCATCGAGGAGCATCCTTGATCATTTGGCGAAAAAACCACGCACGAAACCGGAAAAAAACACAGGAAATGGACGTCCGAGCGATGGCTTGTCTCTGCCGGACGGCCTTCCTTTCACGAGGACCCGCTCTGCACCCGGAGCGGACCCGCCTTCTGCACCCGAAGGTAGCAGTGGGCCCCTCTCGGAGAGGGGCGCTCGGATTTTCCTACGGCCGGCCGGCCGTCCATCGTCGTGCCCCGAGCGCGGCTGCCCGCGCTCGCGCCCGGCGCTTGCAGTCCCCTCGTTGCCGCACGGTGTGGCTCGTGAGCATCCTCGTCCCATCGTCCGCGCCCCCTTCCAGGGGGAGCAACAAAAATGCTTCACAATTCGAGCCCGCCTGGAGGGCGAGGGCGTCAACGAAACGGTCGACCAGGGCGTTCCTCCTCCCCTCCCCTTGCCTCCTCCCCTCCCTCCCTCCCTCCCTTCCCTCTTCCCCCCCGAAAAAGATAATTCAGCGGCCAAGTGGCCCTAATTACTGTGAGCGCCGTTGGTAACCATGGAATTGGCGATGAGCCTTCGCTGGGTCTTGCGTGCTGGCACTTTCCGAGTGCACGTCAGTCAGCACCGCTGTGGCATGAGTTTGCTTGTTTCGGTTGAGCTCGTCATGGCGTCAGCCGTCGCTCGCCTTGGAGGTGTGTCTGGGGCGGTCGCGGCTCTGGTGCAGCATCTTCGAGCACAACATTTGAAGTACAACATTGGAGTCTTATGGAAGGTATAGAGTCGAACGGAGTCCTATAGAGTTCTGCGGCGTCCAGTCAAGTCCACTGAAATTCAACGGAGGCCTAGTGAGTCCTTGTGAGTCCCACGGCGCCTCGCTGAGTGTATACAGGGAGCTTGATCAGTCCGAACTGTCCCGCTTGACTTCTCACCAGCTGTGCCTCGTGCAGCTTCGCTCCTCCTCCTCCTCCTCCTCCTCCTCCTCCTCCTCCTCCTCCTCCTCCTCCTCCTCCTCCTCCTCCAGCACCTCCTCTGGAGGAATAGGAGGAGGAGGAGGAGGAGGACGTGGAGGAGGAGCAGGAGCAGGAGCAGGAGCAAGGGGAGTGGTGGAGGCTTTGGCACGCGTTTGCCAGTTGCTCTGCGCTCTCGCCGCCGCGGCCGGATCCGCCTCGAAGCTCCTGTCGGACGGAACTTGGGACAGGTCCAGGGGGGCGGGTGTTGAGGCTTGGTTCCAAGGTGTCCGACAACATAGAAATGCAGACAAGGCCGAAGTTCGTCGCTATGTTTCAGCCTCCGGGGCCCGTTTCTGGGCTCGATCTGGAATAACAGCAAAAGACGTTGAGGCGTTGTTCCCAGGTGTCCGACAACATTCGGGGGTGGACAGAACCCCCAACAGTGACACGTCGATTAGTGGATTGTCCGTTTCCGGTTCTCGGGAGGGCGCCGTGGCCGTCATTTTCCAGGCCTGCGCCCGCCAGGTTTGGGCCTCAGGCCGTTTTCACTAAACCACGTTTTACTAAAGGGAGGTCTGTCCATCCCCGAAACATAGAAATGCAAACAAGGCTGAAGTGCGTCGCTATGTTTCAGCCTCTGGGGCCCGTTTCCGGGCTCGACCTGGAAGAACAACAAAAGACGGCCCCCTAAAAAGGAGTCTAGTCTCTTGGGGGCCCGCATCGAAAAGGAAGCATCACGACATCGGAGGTACGGGGCTGGTTTTCTAGGCTGATGTTGGACGTTGGGGCAACTATTCAAAGTTTCTGGAGGCGCTTGCGGGGAACCTCGAGGGAACCCTCCTCCTCGCCCCCCTCGCCCCCCTCGCCCCTCGTAGTCCCCCCTGGACACCCTGAGCTCCCATCGACTATTTGTTCCCCCCGCGGGCCCCAGAGGTCCCCACTCCCTGGGACCAGTGTCGTCCCGGATCAACGTGAGGTCGTATGGTGTTTGGAGGCCCGAGAACAGCTACCTCTCGGAGGCCGTAGTCTACGAAGAGCGCTCGCATCCGGAGAAAACGGCCCGCCGGGAGCTTGGGGGCCTCTGGAGCCTCTCCGCAGGCCTCGGGACGAAGGCCCTCCTGCCTCCCCTCGCAGCTGCCTCCGCGGCCGACCGCCGCTCCTGCCGCGGCGGCCTCGCAGTCTTCGTCGTCGCCGACCGTGCGGGAGAGCCTGAACGGGCCTGCGGCGCGCAGAGAGGGGGGGGGGGGGGGCACGAGGATGCGGACCTCTAAGAAGGAGGGGGGGCTGCTTCCTGGAAGGCAGGGGCCCTCTCAGAAGGCTTCTTGGGATGCTTCGAGGAAGGCTTCTCGGGAGGCCGCGGGGCTTCGGAGAGCCGCCCTGCCGTCCCAGAAGGTCCCCCGCTTTGCCGAGAATGGCCGCCCCCCTGGCGGCACCGCGCCAGCCCCGCGTGCGCGCTGCCAGATTGGGACGGGGAGCAGCTGCTATGACCTTTCAGGGCTTCTTTCAGGAGGGGAAAAAACACACAGACACAATTAATCGTCGATTCCCAGGAAAATATGGGGAAATATGGGAAGGGGAAGGGAAGACAAAAATCCAGAAAATATAAGAAAATATGGGGAATATGTTTATTTGTGTGTATTTATTTGTGTGTCCTGGGGCCCCTTCATTCTTTGTGAGCAGGGTAAATGGCTGGGCGGGTCGGGGGGAGCGGGGAGGTCCAACGGGAGCACGTGCAGCTGGAGCCCCATTGGGTTCCCCCGCTGACCTGAGCACCGAAGGAGCCATGTTTCAAGTCGGGATCGCCACAGGGGTCTGTTCAGCGTTCCATTCGTCCGGATACCTTCAGGTGATGCTCGTGAGGCCCGAGTACTGACCCGGTTGACTGTGACCTTGAGGTGGCAGCTCCACAGCTGACTGGTCAGGTCAGTGCTCGGGAGGCCTCAGTGGCACTCGAGCGATTCACTCGTAACCCACCGCTGACCTCGCCGTTCTTGCTCCGGGGGGCGCAGACCGACGGCAGCTCCTGCCCATCTTGAGCAGGGGTGGCCGTCGGTGTCGCCGCAGACGTTGCCCATCTGGGACGACCTCGACTGCCAGACGGCGGCCGCTGCTTGCTGGGCCCCCTCTGGGCCCCGAGGGCTTCGACGCCCGCTGCCTCCTGGCGCGCGAGGCCCTCGGCGCCGCCGCGGAGCGGCCCGCGGAGCCGCGCTCCCCGCGCCGCCGCGGAGCGGCCTCGGCGCGGGCCCTCCCCGGAGCAGCGCCGCCGCCGGCCCCCACCCTGGCGCGGGCCTCCCCGGAGGAGCGCCGCCGGGGGCCTCCCCCCCCGGGCGCGGGCGCTCTCCAGGGCCGCAGGCCGCGGGTGGCCCCCCGGAGGCCCGCCGACGCCGAGCGGGCCGTGCTCGCTCGGCGAGCCGCGCCCGCTCGGGGTCCGCGCGGGGTCCGCGCGGCGGCGGCAGCCGGCGCACCTTGGGAGCTGCCTCGGCGGTGCAGGGCGCGCCGCCCGAGCGTGCCGAGAGCCACTGCCGCGGGGCCGCGTCCCGAGGGGTTCTCGGCGGCAGCGTTGGGGGGGGGGGGAGGGGGCTCCGCCTCCTCCTCCTCCGCCTCCTCCTCCTCCTCCTCCTACTCCTCCTCCCCCTCCTCCTCCTCCTCCTCCTCCTCCTCCTCCCCCTCCTCCTCCCTCCTCCTCCTCCTCCTCCTCCTCCTCCTCCTCCTCCTCCTCCTCCTCCTCCTCCTCCTCCTCCTCCTCCTCCTCCTCCTCCTCCTCCTCCTAGGCTCGACGTTCGAGGTTCGAGGTTTGCGGACTTCGTCGTCGGTTCTCAGCGGTCTGCCAGCCTCGGGATGCCTTCCACAGCGGCTGCGCCTCGCCGAGAGCGTGCCCGTGGTGCCCCGATGGTCCCGAGTGGCCGCAGGAGACCCGAGGTACTACGACCCGGGAACCAACGATTTGGTGGATAGGCTCGCGGGGGGGAGGATGGGGGGGGATGCATTAAGTCGGGCCTGTCCCCCTGCAGGGTGATTTTCGTCGACGGGGAAAAAATCCAAAAATACCCCAAAAACGCCAAAAAATATTCAAAAAGGTAGTCACCCGACTATTTTTGGACTATTTTTTATTACTTTGGGGGTATTCTTAATTTTCCGTCGAAAATCCCCCTGTATGGGGGACAGGCCCGACTTAAGGGATGCATCGGCCATCGGCCACCAGTCGGCCAGGGATCGCCGACGCGGGCCTGATATCCCACCCCGCCCAGGAGCGTGGGGTTTCGCAATCGGGGGCCTGTCGCGGATCTATCGGCGATGCATCGCCGATTCCGGGTCGAGGCTGGGCCGGTCCCCCCTTATCGTTCTTCCTCAGGTTCGGGGAGCGGTGGATATATACATATGTGTATTTATACATATATATATATATATATATATATATATGCCCGTCCACGCGGGCGGATATCCATACACGCCGGTCGTTGAGAGTAGTTATTTCTGGGCTCCCGGATTCCAATCTACTTTAGGCGCCTTCCTACTTCAAAAGTCTAGCGGTTGTCCCTCCTCCTAGGGGATGGACGGAAGCCTCATCTGCTTCCAACGCCTTCCTGCTTCCCGGGGGTGGACGGCAGCCAAGTCTGCTTCCAGCGCCCTCTTGCTTCACGCTTCTGCCCACCTCTTCCGACCGACGGGTGCCCACCGCTCCTCGAGATCTGAGGGCACGGCTCTGGGGCGGTGGATGCAGACAGGCCTTGGCGGTGTCGAGGGTTGTCGATCGTGGTCGTCTGCCTCGGGCAGGGGGTGGCCCTGGGACGGCGCGCGGCGGCGACGTCGACCGACGGCCAGCGCCGACGGCCGACCTCCGACTTCCGACGACCGCCGTCCGACGACGACGACGACGCGCGGCAATCGACGGTCGACGGCGACGAGGCCGCGAGCGGAGGTGGAGAGGGTCTGGCACGGGAGCACCCGCAGGCAGGTGGCAACGGGGAATGGACGTCCGAGCGATGGCGAGAGAAGCGATGATCGTCTTTGTCGTCGTAGCCGTCGTCGTCGTCGGTCGTCGTCGTCATTCGTCGTCGCCGTCGTCGTCATTCGTCGTCGCCGTCGTCGCCGTCGTCGTCGTAGTCGTCGTCCGTCGCCGTCGTCGTTCGTCGTCGTCGTCGTCGGTCGTCGTCGTCGTCGCCGTCGTCGTCGATCGTCGCCGCCCCGCAACCCATCCCGCGGCGATGCCGCTCGCCCGGCGCCAGGCCTTCGACGACATCATCAACTTCTTCGACGAAGCGACGACGGCCCGGCGGCCGCGGCGCCTCCCTGGCTTCTCCCTCTCCCTTCGGGCCGGGTTCGGGATGCCACTATTATCTTGCACGGTTGTGTTCTAGAGTTCGGACCTTCCTATTTCCGCTTTGGCCCCCTCTTGCGTTGGCCCCCTTGACCACGTCCCCCCCGGGCTTCGCTTGATTTTCGCGTCGTGTCGTCGTCGTGGCCTTCCCCGGGCCCCCTGCCCTTGCCTCCCTGGTGGCCTCCCTGCCCTGGCCCCAGGACCCCACACAGGGATTCGATGTGCAACCCACACAAAAGAGTTATATTTTAATCGAATGGCCTTCGGCCCATCCCGAGCCTATTGGATGTTCGTTGGGATCTCGAGGGAAGGCCTCTCGGGGGCCTCTCGGAGGCAGTTTTGGGGCCTCTCGGGGGCCGTTTTGGGGCCTCTGTTGGGTCTTTTGGGGGCCCCCTTGTCTTGGGGGCCATTCTGGGGGCCTCTTGGGGCCTCTCGCGCGCCTCTTGGGGCCTCCTGAGGGCCTCGGGCGGAAGATTTTCGGTTCGTGTTCCCTCGCGGGGGCCCCTTTGGGGGCCGTCTTGGGCGCCTCTTGGGGCGCCTTTTGGGCCGTCTTGGAGCCCCTGGGCCGTCTTGGGATAGTCTCGGGGGCATCTTCGGCCGTCGTGGACCGCCGGAAAGCAGAAGAGGCGAGGACGCCAAAATCCTTTTTAAAAGAAACAACGGACAACAAATATGTTTGCTCATTTGGACCCTCTTGGGAGGCCTCTTGGAAGCTTCTTGGGGCATTTTAGAAACTCCTTAGGTCATCTTGAGGCCATCTTGGGCGTCTCGGAAAGATCTTTCGGCGACTCGGGGCCCTCTTGGACGATCTTGGGGCCCTCTTGGCTCCAAGAGAGTCACGCGACAAGCCCCAAGAGATTTGACTATTTGGGGTCCGGGTCCTTTCAAGAATCTTCAGGAGTGAGGAATGAGACTCAGAGGATTAGGCCAAGGACTTGAGGACACTCCCACTCCGGGCCCAAGGGCACGGTGGCGGATCCTCCATAGAGTTCTATTTGAAAATCCACGAAAGGATTCCAATAATTACTAAGCCGCACAATTGAAATTAAGGCCGGGCGTGGTCTTACAAGGCCGGGTAAGACCACGCCCGCCAAATTAAGATGTAAATATTCCACAAAAGGGATTCGAGTGCAAAATTCTTCAGAAGGATTCTGCCTGCAATCCACACAACAGGACCATAATGCAAATCCTCGACCAGAAGAATTCGATTGCAAATCCGCACATAAGAAATCTGACTTGTAAGTCCCCCACAGAAGGAATCTGAATGTAAAGCCCCCACCAAAGGACTTTATGTGTAATCCAGACTTTTGGAATCAACATATGAGTCCCTACGGAAGGATTTCCTTTGAAAGGGAGCCGGACAAATTCGGAGCCTCCCGAACAAACAGAAAAGTGAATATGTACACCAGGAGCCGTTGCCGATCTTAGAATCGGTGATTCGATGGTCTTGCGTATGGTCACCCGCATGGTCTTCCGTACGATATGCATTATTTCCTGCATCATCTCCAGTATGGTATCTTTAAAGTCCTCCGGTATGATACCGCGGATGGTCTCCCGTACCAGTTCCCGTAGCATCTCGCGCAGGGTCTCCCGCATGATATTCCGTATGGTTTCCCGTATGTTCTCCCACACGTTTTTTCCATCGTTTTTCCCGCACGATATCCCATCCCGTATAGTTTCGCTTATGTTCTCCCGTGTGATCTCCAATGCGAGAGGTGCGAGAGCCCGCGCATCTAAAGATCGGATCGCAGGATGTTCGGGTACTTTTCCATCGTTTTCTATTTTCTGCGCCTCACTGGGTCTCTTCATTGCCGCGGCTGAATCCACCTCGAGATCTTGGTCAGAGCGCACCCCAGAGGAACTCTGGGAGGTGGCGGTATCCGCATCATTGTGCTCGCCAGTGTCCAGGAGGGCGGCGAGGACGAGGGGTGTGCGGATGACATGGCCAGGGCAGCGAAATCTCTTCCTGCTCCTTTCCCTACGCCCCCGGGCCACAATCTCTGGAGCTCTCTGGATGTCCCCTTGGCATCGCTCGGACGTGTGCATTTTTCCTTCGGCGAGGACCATCGATGAGCATCCTTGAACATTTGGCGAAAAAAACACGCACGAAACCGAAAAAAAACACAGGGAATGGACGTCCGAGCGATGGCCAGTCCCCGGAGGCCTCCCCATCGCCGTGCAGCACAGATTGCCGAGTGCCCGTGGCGTGGGCTGGCGGCGCGCACACGGGCGGGGGGAAGGGGGGGGGATCTACGAGGGCGCGAGGTGTCTTCGAGGGGCGCGGAGGCTTCTAAGACTGCTTCTCAGAAGCCCTCCGGGCTTCTGAGAGACCCTTTCTGCGTTTTCTTCGAAAGCCCCCCGCCTTCTGAGAAGGCCTCCGCCCTGTGCGCGCGCCGCCAAGGCAGGAAGCGATCGGAGCTCATCCGAGGCCCGAGGAGGGGCCCAAGCTCCTCCGGCAGTCCGAGGCTCGTCGCCGCCGCCGCCTCGCCGGAGCCGACCTGCCCGCGAGGTCGGGAAGAACATCCCCACCACGATCTCCCCGATCGACGGGCACGGCGAGCAGAAAAGGACGCCGCCGCGGCCGCCGGCCGCCGCCGCCTCGCGCTCCGCGCGCGCCCGCGCCCTCGCCGTCCCGCGCGGCCTGGGCTGCGCCGCCCCCTGGCGGCAGGCCCCGAGATCTGGGGCTTCCGAGCGGGGTCGGAGGGCCGCGCCGCCTCGCCGATGCACTTGGGATGCACCTCGATGAAGAGGCCGACTTCCTTCCGCGCCCGCGTGGTCGACGCATCGGCGGTGCGGCGCGATCCTGCGGCGCCCAGCTGCCCAGGCTCCGTTTGGGAGGCCTCTGCGGGGGCCCCGAGCCCAGGGCTCCTCGGCCGCGGCCGCCGCTCGCGCGGCGGCTCTCGCGCTCGGCTCGGTCGCACGGCTCGGTCGCACGGCTCGGCCGTGGTCGCCGTTGGCGCGGCCGCGTTCGCACCCGCGCGCTCCCTCGATCGACGCCGTCGTCGTCGTCGCCGTCGCCGTCGCCGTCGGTGTCGACGTCGTCGTCGCCGTCGCCGTCGTGGTCCACGTCGCCGTCGCCGTCTTCGTCCTCGCCGTCGTCGTCGTCGTCGTCGTCCTCCTCGGCGTCGGCTTCGTTATCAGCGTCGGCGTCGGCGTCCTCGTCGGCGTCGTCGTCGCCGTCGCCGTCGCCGTCGCCGTTGTGGTCGCCGTCTTCGTCCTCGCCGTCGTCGTCGACGTCGTCGTCGTCGTCCTCGGCGTCGGCGTCCGTCTTCGGCGTCGGCGTCGGCGTCCTCGTCGGCGTCGTCGTCGGCGTCGGCGTCGGCGTCGGCGTCGGCGTCGGCGTTGTCGTCCTCGTCCTCGTTCTCGTCCTCGGCGTCGGCGTCGGCGTGGTCGTTGGTCGTCGTCGTCGCCGCCGTCGCCGTTGTCGTCGCCGTCGTCGTCGCCGTCGTCGCCGTAGCCGTCGCCGTCGCCGTCGTCCTCGGCGTCGGCGTCGGCGTCGTCGTCACCGTCGGCGTCGTCGTGCTCGGAGATAGCGTCAACGTCGGCGTCGTCATCGCATCGCCGTCGTCGTCCTCGGCGTCGGCGTCGGCGTCTGCGTCGTCCTCGGCGTCGTCGTTGTCCTCGGCGTCGCCGTCGCCGTCGTCGTCGTCGTCCTCGCCGTCGTCGTAGTCGTCGTCGTGCTCGGCGTCGTCGTCGTCGCCGTCGCCGTCGCCGTCCTCATCGTGGTCGTCGTCTTCGTCGTCGCCCTCGGCGTCGGCGTCGTCGTCGCCGTCATCGGCCTCGGCCTCGGCGTCGTTGTCGACGTCGTCGTCCTCGCCCTCGTCGTCGTCGTCGTCGTCGTCATGTCGCCGTCGCCGTCGCCGTCGCCGTCGTCGTTGTCCTCGGCGTCGGCGTCGGCGTCGGCGTCGTCGTCGTCGTCGCCGTCGCCGTCCTCGTCGTCGTCGCCGTCGTCGTCGTCGTCGCCGTCACCGTCGCCGTCGTCCTCGGTGTGGGCGTCGTCGTCGTGCTCGGCGTCGGCGTTAGCGTCGGTGTCGGCGTCGGCGTCGTCGTCGCCGTCGTCTACCTCGTCGGCGTCGTCGCCGTCCTCGTCGTCGTTGCCCTCGTCGTCGCCCTCGCCCTCGGGGTCGGCGTCGCCGCCGCTCGTCCTTGTTCATGGCGTCGTCGTCGCCGTCGTCGCCATCGTCGTCGTCGTCGTCGTCGTCGTCGTCGGGGTCGTCGTCGCCGTCGCCGTCGCCGACGCCGCCGCCGTCCTCTTCGTTGTCGCCGTCGTCGTCGTCTTCGCCCTCGCCCTCGGCGTCGGCGTCGGCGCCAGCGTCGGCGTCGGCGTCGGCGCCGTCATCGCCGTCGCCGTCGCCGTCCTCGTCCTCGTCGTCGTCGTCGTCGTCTTCGGCGTCGCCGTCGCCGTCGTCGTCATCATCGTCCTCGTTCTCGGCGTCGTCGTCGACGTCGCCGTCGTCGTTCTCGTCGTCGTTGTCGTCGTCGTCTTCGGCGTCGGCGTCGGCGTCGGTGTCGGCGTCGGCGTCGGCGTCGGCGTCGGCGTCGTCGTCGTCGCCGTCGCCGTCGTCGTCGCCGTCGCCGTCGCCGTCGTCGTCGCCGTCCTCGCCCTCGCCCTCGGTGTCGCCGTCGTCGTCGCCGACGCCGTCGCCGTCGCCGTCGCCGTTGCCGTCGTCGTCGTCGTTGTCGTCGTCCTCGGCGTCGCCGTCATCGTCGTGGTCCGTGTCGTCCTCGTCCTCGGCGTCGGCGTCGTTGCTCGCGCGGCCCGCCTCCGCGCGCGCAGGACCGTCGCGCAGGAGGCCCGGCTGCTGAAGCGTTTCTTCCTGAAGGCGGGGCCGTCGCCCCGAGAAGAGCGAAGTGCTCCTCCTCTACCTCCTCCTCCTCCTCCTCCTCCTCCTCCTCCTCCTCCTCCTCCTCCTCCTCCTCCTCCTCCTCCTCCCCCTCCTCGTCCTCCTCGTCCTCCTCCTCCTCCGCCTCCTCCTCCTCCGCCGTCCGACCTCGCTCCTCCTCCGCCTTCCCCCTCGCCCCTCACCCTCCTCCTCCTGCCTCCTCCTCCTCCCCCTCCTCATCCTCCTTCTGCTCCTCCTCCTCCGCCTCCTCCTCCTCCTCCTCCTCACTCCTTCTCCTCCTCCTCCGCCTCCTCCTCCTCCTCCTCCTCCTCCCTCCTCCTCCTCCTCCTCCTCCTCCTCCTCCTCCTCCTCCTCCTCCTCCTCCTCCTCCTCCTCCTCCTCCTCCCCCTCCTCGCCTCCTCGTGCCTCCTCCTCCTCCTCCTCCCCGCCTCCGCCTCCTCTCCTCCGCCTTCCCCTCCCCTCACCCCTCCTCCTCTCCTCCTCCTCCTGCTCCCTCTCCTCCCTCCTCCTCCTTTTCCCCTCCTCCTCCTCCTCCTCCTCCTCCTTTCCTCCTCCTCCTTCTCCCCCTCCTCCTCCTCCTCCTCCTCAGCGATGGAAGCATTGGGGCCTTCGATCCTCGTCGTTTCTGGTCCTCGGGTCGTAGTGCGAGGGCAGTGGAGACCCATGCCAAGAAGCGCCCTGCTTGCCTCCAGGGTGCCCTGGGTTTCTTAAGATTCAGTGGTTTTGCTATGGAAAGCGTGACGTTCCCACACCAAAAATCAATGGACGTCCTGGGGTCTGACGGTTGGGTGTCTCGGCGCCTTTCCTCAGAGAAGAGAAATTTTGGGCCTTCGATCCTCGTCGTTTCTGGCTTTCGGGTCGTACCTCGAGTACAGTCAACCCGCGTACTGGTAGCAAGGATGGGCAATTGTCCGCAAGGCACCACTGCATCCTTGCCTCCTCGGTCCATCCTTGGCCACTTCCGCTGGCCACGCCCCGCCCGAAAAGCTTCGAAACGGCCTTCCAGGGCCCTTGAAGGTCCTTATCGTGCATCCTTCTGATATCCGGGTCGACTGTACTTGCCTGGCGGCCGTGGAGGGCGACCGGGCACCCTCCGGACGCCCCTCGGCGAGGCGCAGCTGCTGGAGAGCATCCCGAGGGCGGAAACCCCTCCTGGGAACTTGCGAATCTGTCCAAGAGCACTAGGCCTATGGTCGGTTGCGAGCGAGGGGGGGAAGTGAGAAGGAGAAGACCTTCTCAGAGTGCGGCGGGGCTTCTCAGAAGCCCTCGCGCCTTCTGGGAAGGTTTCTGCGCATTCGAGGAAGAAGTAGAAAACTTCTCAGAAGACCGGGGGACTTCCGAGCCTTCTGAAAAGGCCCGCTCCCTCTGACTTCCCCCCCAGGCTCGCCCCCGAGCACTGGTCGAAGAAGAAGAGGAAATGGCATAAACATAACGTGTTGACGGTCCGCGTGGACTTCTTGGATCGGCGCTGGACTCCCTTGGCGGCGCTTCCGGCGCCGCCCCTGGCGCGCTCTGCGAGCCTTTTTTTCTTCCTCCATTACAGTGAGCGGCTTGAGTAAGGAACATTTATTGTTCAAAAGGGGCTCGGTCGTTCCTTAAGGCTTGCATGCGTTACGTATCCTTCCTTATGCGTTTTTTTGTATTATGTATCGTTGCTTATGTTTTTTTCCTTGGAACACAGGGGTTTCGTTCCTTACTTATCGTTCCTTAGGTCAGGCCGATGACTGTACAGCAGATCGCCA